GGGGTGGCCGCCGCCGGGCTCGCGGCGGCCGGGCCGGGGCTCCGGAGCTCCCGGGCTCTGGTTTCCGACTGCCGCTCCGGGCTCCGGGGCCCGAAGGCGCGCGCGTGGGGGTCTCGGAGCGGGACGCCGCTCGCCCCGCCGCCGCCGGGCTCCCCTTTGTTGTGGGGCGGGCGGCGTGGGAGCGGGTCCACCGGCCCCACGGAACTGGGGCTCCGGGGGTTGGGATGGAGCGGACCGCGGGCGGCGGGGTGGGAGCGCGTCCCGGCGCCCTGCGGGGCTGGGGGTCCGGGGATCGGCACGCAGCCGGCCGCAGGCGGCGTGGGAGCGGGTTACACACCCTGCCGGACTGGGAGCCCGGGGTCGGTGTAGAGCGGATCCCGGGCGGCGGGGTGGGAGCCGGGCCCCGCGCCCCGCTGGGCTGCAGGTCGGGGGTCGGGATGGAGCGGGCGGCGGGGGAACGGGTTATACACCCCGCGGGGCTGAAGGGATCTGGGGGTCGGGATGGAGTGTCCCCAGGGCGGCGGGTGGGAGCGGGTCCAGGCTCCCTGCGGGGCTGGGTGGTCGGGGGTCGGGATGGAGCAGAGGACCGGCAGGGGGCGGTGAGGGTGGGAGCGGGCCCACGCGCCCCGCGGGGCTGGGATGGAGTCGACCGCGGATCGCAGGGTGGAGGGGGTCCACACGCCCGAAGGGCTGGGGGTCTTGGGAGCCGGAGTGTCGGGAGCGGGCGTGGGAGCGGGCGTGGGAGCGGGCAAGCGCCCGGCGAGGTGAGGTGTTTAGAAAGGAGCAGAGTGAGGGGGCGTAGGGGAGCGCGAGCCGCCGCCCCCCCCCCCCCCCCCCCCCGCCCCGGGTCGGGTCAGGCAGGTCCGGTGTTGAGTGCGCTCCCGGGTGGCCCGCAGGTGCGCCCCGGAGCCATGGTGATCATGTCGGAGTTGAGTGCGGCCCCCGCGGGCTCGGGCCGGAGCCAGCAGAAACCCCTCCGGGTGGGCTTCTACGACGTCGAGAGGACCCTGGGCAAGGGCAATTTCGCCGTAGTGAAGCTGGCCCGGCATCGAGTCACCAAAACCCAGGTGTGTGCCGGACCTGGCCTGTGAGGACCCTCCCTGGGGGCGGCTGGGTGGTTTCCCTGTCCTCAGGGTTCATCGCGCAACGTCTCAGGGCTGACAGTTCTCAGTTCCACGAGGAGAAAATGCTTTATGTTATGATTCTGAATAATTTCGACAAATATTAGGGGACAGCAGAGAGAGTAATGACCGGATGACCCAGGAGTGTGGGGCTCTGGGATCCAGGCCGAGGCCCTGTAAAGTGAGCTAGAAGACATTTAAGATACTTCCTTAACTTTAAGTCCCATGAATGGTGACTTGTTTTTTTTTCCCCCCCAACTTTTTGTGACCTTTGGGGACATAAAGTGTTACAGAAATTAAGCTGCAAAAAACAAAACGTGTCAATGAAAGGCGTTTGTTTGGGGACAAAAATATCCTTTCTTTTAAACTGTAGGTTGCAATAAAAATAATCGATAAAACTCGATTAGACTCCAGTAATTTGGAGAAAATATATCGTGAGGTTCAGATCATGAAGCTTCTGAATCATCCTCACATCATAAAGCTTTATCAGGTAAGGACTCGAGTTTGCCTTTTGCTGTTACTTCTGGCAAGTGTATTTATTACCTTTTATTTTCAACAATAAGTCTGCGATTCTGAATTTTGCCCCTCTCTTTGGGTGTGTGTGGGAGGCAGGGGGTTGGCTGTGTAAGGTAAATAGATTGATTTTTGTAAGCTCTTCCGATGCGTTTTCAATTATTTTCTTGCTTTTGGATCATAATTGAGATTTGCCTCATTAAAATTTTATTTCGTATTGTCATTCGCTCCAGTTTTAAATGCGTAGAGGTCGGTTGTTAGATTCACTTTCCTAAGAAAACAAACAAGCAGACGTAGGTATTGTCTCATGTCAAGCATTTAGCATAGGACAGATTTTAGTGGAAGGAGACGCTTCCCCCTTTGCAGATGATTATTCAACTTTAAAACCGGCTGCGTTTACCAGTTTCCGTGAACTCTTTGCAAAGGCATTTGTCTTCCCGTTTCAACTCTTCCGTCAAAAACGGAGAGATGAAAATACTTTTGCCATGGTGAGAACAGAGAACTTGTCATTGAATCCGCGTTAAGAGCATGCCTCGCCCTATCCGTCTGTCGGTTTGTTTTGTGACGTTGTCGTCGTTACCGTGTTTCAACTAATAAATCATATCTTTGGAATATTACACGCGCTGATTTCAGGAGCGCAGTAAAGCAACTCTTACCCGACCACTTCTGCAGATGAGATGCCGGCTGCTGCGTTTTTTGCAAATGCTCGGTATTTCATCCAGCTGTGCCGGGTGTAAGTTCCTTCTGGGGATTCTCGTGAAGCCTCCCGAATCTGAGAGGAACACGGACGGTGCGGGTGTGTGTGTGCCCACGGCGAGGCTCGGCGGGCAGCGTGGCAGGAGAGGGCGTTAGAAGAGAAAACTGTCCCACGGAAGTAGTGTCACCGGGCTTGTGTTCCCCTGAATGACAGTTCACTTAGAGTCACTGAGTGCAGTCATCAGCCCGCCACCATACGCTCGGGTTTGTGTTTTGTTTCTGTGTCATTTTTAGTTGTGCTGCTTTGATAAGAAGTTTCCTCCGTGGCCGCTGATGTCAGTGCCTGAGAAATGTGCCTGGCCTGTTTCCGCAGGAGTGGCCCGAGCCCTGTTTTTGACTTTGCTGGAGGGATGAGCCAGAGTGTACCTTCCTGGTCTTCCTGTCCCTCTGCTGGCCCATTGTGTGGAGCAGCCCAGTTAGACAGCACATCGCCCCCAGCATCAGAGTGAGAGGTCCTTTGGCCGAGTGAAACCTCTCGGTGCCGTCTGGGTCGCTTTAACTGTTCGGACGTGATAGGGACAGCACTGCATGTCATTCGTCGGGGTTTTACGCTGGCGTCTAACTCTCATCCAGCTGGCCCAGGCCCCAGAACCTTGCTGAGACACTACACTCTTGCCTGGAGGTTTCCCAACACCCCAAACACGTTTACTCTTAATTCTTTCTCCGGCTCTCTTTTGAACTGAGGAGAGGGACGAACCTCAGCCTTCCTGCTCAGGCCTCTACCGCACATGTGGAGGGCCAGGACACTTCAGGACATTGGAGATTCTTGGTCACACACACTGTGTTTGCTGTCTTGTTAGATTTACGGCTTAAACCAGTTGCCTTTGAAGTGTCTTTTTTATGGAAAAACCGTATTTCGGAACCCTAAAGAAACTGTTCCTGTGAGCACGTATTGTCTCTGTGTCTCCCTTTGAAATCTTTTTGAAATCGCCTGGGAAGGAGTTGGATTTCCTTCTTTTAGGACCAAAGATGTGAAATTTACCTTGTTTTCTTAGCTAGCTGTATTTTCAACTCTTTTTTAAAATTGTTTGCACAGTGAAGTAAAATTCTCGACCCGTAAGTGAGCCTGCAGGGTGTGTTTGACCTCGGCCGTTGCTACTGACACATGCTGAGGGGTTTGCCGTGTAAAGAGCGGTGTGTCGTGGCTTAACCTGGCAGAACCCGCTTCTCGGCGCCCAATTCATCATGTCAGTAACGCAAGGGGGAAGGGCTGTTCGTTATCTGTTACTCAGCTTGCACTGGCCCGAATCATCTGTTGCCTGCTAGGCTTCTAGAAGAAAGCCCTAGCGGTGCATGCTGCGGGTGTCAGACCTCTGAGGCCTCACAGAGCCGGCGGGTGGGTGAGGCAGTTGCGTTAACACGGTGATACAGGAAGGTTCTAGTGCGTTCGGATAGACAGGTTAGTGAGGAATTCACCTCTGATGTTTTAAATTCTTTTCCTGAATAGGAACCCCCGTATCTGTTTCTTTAACACAGAAGTGTTTATTTTCTTTCCTTTTTAAAGATAATGGATACGCTCATCCTTGGGGAAGTTAAAAATTTACTGGGGTTCGAGTAGATTATTTATACCGTTGGCATGTTCTCTTCCCGTGTGGTTGAACGTTGGGTCTTTGTGTTTTTAGGTTATGGAGACAAAGGATATGCTTTACATTGTCACTGAATTTGCGAAAAATGGAGAAATGTTCGGTAAGTCACGCCTGTGTCTAACATCTGTTGAAAGCGGAGGGTTTAGCTGGTCAGGCATCCGCCCTCCGGCGTGTGGGTCTGCCCGTCTTTAAGTCGTACGGCTTTCCTCACTCGCGCTCCAGACGACGGCCAGACTTCTGGACGTTAGGGCTGGAGCTTCGGCCTGTCACTCCTCAGATTATCTGACCTCCAACGGGCACCTCAGCGAGAATGAGGCACGGAAGAAATTCTGGCAGATTCTGTCCGCCGTGGAGTACTGCCACAGCCACCACATCGTCCACCGGGACCTGAAGACCGAGAACCTGCTGCTGGACGGCAGCATGGACATCAAGCTGGCAGGCAAGGGGCCCTCCGGGGCTGGGGGGCGGGGGGTGGTCCCCGAGCCCAGGAAGCGCGGTCTCCTAAGGGCCCACGAGGCCCCCCGCTGTTGGCGCGCGCGCCTTTGTGTCCGTGGCCCTGCCGTTTCCGCCGTGACCTCACCGTCCGTTTTCCTGTCCCTCAGATTTTGGATTTGGGAATTTCTACAAGTCGGGAGAGCCCCTGTCCACGTGGTGTGGGAGCCCCCCGTACGCGGCCCCAGAAGTCTTTGAGGGGAAGGAGTACGAAGGCCCCCAGCTGGACATCTGGGTAGGAGCCAGGAGCCCGCGTGGGCGGCGCGCGTCAGACGCCAGGGCCCCGGCCGCGGGCGTGCGGGCGCTGACCCCAGGCCGTCCGTGTGGTCTTTGCAGAGCCTCGGCGTCGTGCTGTACGTGCTGGTGTGCGGGTCGCTCCCCTTCGACGGACCCAACCTGCCGGCGCTGCGGCAGCGGGTGCTGGAGGGCCGCTTCCGTATCCCGTTCTTTATGTCTCAAGGTGGGCCACCCGGGACGAGGGGTTTGCACAGGGGGCGGGGGTTTAGTTCCCGAAACGCCTGCCCGACGGTGTCTGGGTGTGCCGTCAGGTCCGTGAGTCAGCGCCGCGTTACCGCGGGCTGTTTCCCTGCCGCCTGCGACACAAGCCCAGCCCACTGGGTGTTTCCTCAGTGCCCTACTTGTGGGGCGGGGCGGGGGGGTGCCTCAGCTCTGCGGTCCCCCCGAGAGGGCCTAGTCTCTGGGATGCCGGCCGGCCTGGTCCTCGGTCCGGGGCAGGTCGGCAGGACCCCGTCCCCTCGATTGCTGGCTCTCCCGGTGGCAGGTTCTGAGCGGCAGCCCGGGGCCACCGCCCCCGGTCTCGGCGTCCTTTAGGACGGTCACTCGTGTGTCGCGCTCAGGAGGGGAGCCTGGTCCCCAGCGGGGCTGCTGCGGGACCCAGCTGGGCGGTGGTGGGAGCACGCGGGGGGGCCGCCCGGGCTCAGCGGGCCTCCCTCACCCCCCAGACTGTGAGACGCTGATCCGCCGCATGCTGGTGGTGGACCCCAGCAAGCGCATCACCATCGCCCAGATCCGGCAGCACAGGTGGATGCAGGCCGAGCCCCCGGTGCCGCGGCAGGCCTGCACGGCCTTCTCTGCGCTCAGCTACAACGCCAGCCTGGGCCGCTACGATGAGCAGGTGTTGGGGATCATGCACACCCTGGGCATCGACCGGCAGAGGACCGTGGAGGTGAGGGCCACCGCCCGGCCTCGCGCGGGCTTGGACGGGAGAGGCGCTCACTCTGAGGAAAAGCAGGCGCTCGCCAGTCGAGTTAAAACGGGAACATGGGCTAATTTAAGGGCCAGCTGTCCACTCCTCTAAAGGATATTCTCGGCCACCCAGGAATAACCCTGGGAACAGGCCTGTCAGGGAGCCTCAGCCGCTCGGGAAGCGTCGGAGGCGCCGCCCGCCGCGGAGCCCTGTCGCCTCGCTCTTCCCCGTGCTGGCCCCGCTCTGACCCCGCTTCCCTCTGCCTCCTGCAGTCACTGCAGAACAGCAGCTACAACCACTTTGCTGCCATTTATTACCTCCTCCTCGAGCGGCTGAAGGAGCATCGGCACACACAGCCGTCGGCGCGGCCCGGCCTGGCCCGGCAGCAGAGGCCGCGCAGCTCGGATCTCGGCGGCTTTGAGGTGGGGGGGAGTCTCCTTCCCGAGCCCTGCCCAGACTGTGCACCCCTGCGCCCACCAGTTACGGTCCCTCACCCAGACGGGCCCGGGACTGAGACGCCCGCTGAGCCCGCCGGCCCCCGGGTGCTGTCTCCTACCCATGCGGCATGGGGGCTGGGGGGGGGTTTCCTGTGGGAGCCACGAACCAGAGGCTACGTGGAGGAGAGGGGGTGCCGGCCGCTCCGCTGCGGGTCAGGCACTACCCTGCAGCCACTTGTTCCTTAACTGTCCCCGGTCTGGCCTCCTGACACCTTCCCCTGGTCACCCTGGGCGGCAGGGCCTCGGAGAGGAAGGTGCCTATGTCCTGAGCCCAGGCAGCCGGGGCACCTGTCAGCCCCGTGGCAGAGCCAGTGGGGCCTTCCTAGTGACGCTGTTTGCGGTTGTCCCCAAAGCTACCTCCCTGCTGACGTCTGTCCTCTGTCTGCCCGCAGGTGCCTCAGGAAGGCCTGTCTGGTGACTCTTTCCAGCCCTCCCTGCTGTGCCCGCAGCCCCAGGCCTTTGGGCAGTCTGTCTTGCAGGCGGACACGGACTGTGACCCCCTCAGCTCACTCCAGGTGTGTGATCTACACTGGGCAGCCGTCGCGTGGGAGGGGCTCTCCCAGCCGTGGTGACGACCCCCACCCGCGTCCCGTGGAGCCCCAGGAGTTACAGGTCTGTGTCTGTCCCCCCCAGCCCTTGCTCTTCCCCCTGGACGCCAACTGCAACGGAGTGTTCCGGAATCGCCCCATCTCCCCGAGCGGCCTGCTAGACGCGAGCATCAGTGAGGAGGTCAGGCAGGGCCAGGGCCTGGAGGAGGAGCGGGAGCCGCAGGAGCCCCTGTCCGGCGGCACAGGCCGGAGGCACACGCTGGCCGAGGTCTCCACCTGCTTCTCCCCGAGTGCCCCTCCGTGTAAGTGCCCGGTGGGGCAGGAACGCGGCCCGGGGCACCGGCCAGGGGGCGGGCGTGCGGTGGAGACTCTGACCGGCCGATGGAGAGTGCACCTTATTGGCTGGTGGGCGTCCGATTGCCCTTGTCTGGATTTGCCTTCTGCCCTAACCCCGAGGCCAGGCAGATCCTACTTCGAGACTGCGCGCGGTCTTTCGGTGGCAGGACAGCTTGGGGTTCAGCTGCCCCCGGGGGCTGGAAGGGCCGGTCCGCAGCCCAGGCCCCCGTGTGTCCTTGTCTGAGCCCCGCCGGTCAGCTACGGCGGCAGCCGCACCCTCAAGGTGGCCGGCCACCGTCATGGCTCCCAGACGCCTCTGACAGCCTCTGGCCGTCATAGACTCCCGCCCCATGTTGAGGGTAGGCTCAGGGAGGCCAGCACTGCCGTCTGCCCCTGTCAGCTGGCCCCACGGGCTGTCCCGAGACCCAGGGGCTGTGCACCAGGCGCGGAGAAAGCGTCCGTGCCTGTTCTTTCCTCTGACTTGCGGTGAAAACTCGGGTGCTGGTGGGCTGCTTCTGGCCTCGGGGAGCATCAGGCCCCTCAGGAGTGCGTGCTTCTTCTGCAGGTATCGTGGTCTCCTCCTCCGCCGCGAGCCCTTCGGAGGGCACCAGTTCCGACAGCTGCTTGACCTTCTCGGCCGGCGACGGCCCAGCGGGGCTCAGTGGCCGCCTGGCCGCCCAGGGGCTGGTGGGCACCTGTTCCCCTCTCAGACTGGCCTCACCGCTCCTGGGGGCCCAGTCTGCCACCCCAGTGCTGCAGGCTCAGGGGGCCCCAGGAGGGGTCACTCTGCTCCCCATCAGCTTCCAGGAAGGCCGGAGGGCGTCAGACACCTCGCTCACTCAAGGTGACTAACCTTTCCTGCTCCTCTTCCACCCGTCCCAGAAGGTGCTGTGTGTGCCCCTGGGAGGGTGTCACCCTGTCCCGGTGCAGATGGCGTGCCCCGAGTCTCTGGCCGGGGAGCTCTAGATGTCCCCGTCTTCTGGGACGAACTCACAGGGTCTCCTAGTGGCCGGTCCTAAAAGCCCAGGAGACACTTGGATGCCAGGCCACAGCGCCTCACCTGGAGGAGGGGACAGGTCAGGGAGGGACCCTCCACAGAGGCGGCCCCCACCTGCCTGCCTGGGCTCCCTCCCTCAGCCCACCGCCCCGCTCGTGCCTCCGTCCACAGAGGACCCCTGCCCAGACTCGTTCGGGGTTGGAGCCGCTGCCCCAAATCAAACTCTGAAGAAAAGAGGACTTAGCCCCGGGAGGGGTCATCCGATCGGATGACCAGAGAGTGCCCTTAACCCCCACGGGAAAGCAATCCGTTCATGCCTTCACGTTTGCATGGGGTCCCTCCCTGCTCACGCCGGCCCGGGGTCTGCGGGCCACCCACGGACCGGCTTGATTTTGCACCCCCCAGGGCTGAAAGCCTTCCGGCAGCAGCTGAGGAAGAGCACGAGGGCCAAAGGGCTCCTGGGCCTGAACAAGATCAAGGGGCTGGCTCGCCAGGTGTGCCCGCCCTCCTCCTCCAGCCGGGCCACGAGGGGCGGCCTGAGCGCCTTCCAGCTGCCCACGCCGAGCCCGGGCCCGCACGGCGGCGGGGCCGGCAGCCGGGAGGGCCGGAGCCTGCTGGAAGAGGTCCTACACCAGCAGAGGTACGCCCCCCCCGCCTCGCTCCCGTGACCGCCCCCTGGGGAGGGCTCGAGGACGTCTGGGTTTCTGGAGTAACCTCATCTCGGGAGCTCCTCGCCCTCTCCATGGAATCAGACGCGTGCACCTGCCGGCCCCTAGTGTGGGGGGATCCGCCGGTGGGGCCTCGTTCCGGCGGATGGGGGTGGGGGGGGGGGGCGGCCGGCCTTCCCCCCTTGGGGGCCCCCCCGGGGGGGGGGGGCGGGGGGGGGCAGCGAATAAGAACGTCGCGTCTGGTTGGCATCTCTGAGCTGCCTTAGAAGCGAGACGGAGAATGGAAATGTCAGGAATTGCTCAGGGATTAGTCACGCACAGCCTCGCGTGTGGGGAGCAGCCCCAGCCGGCGGCTGACCCGCCCCCTCCCTCCCTCCAGGTTGCTCCAGCTCCAGCACCACCCGGTGGGCCCGCCCGGCTGCCAGCAGGCCCCCCAGCCGCCCCCGGCCCCGCTGGTCCTCGCCCCGTGCGACGGCACGCTCCTTGTGTCGGGACTCCAGAAAGAGCTGGGGCTGGCGCCCGGCCCGCTGCTGCCGCCCCACTTCCTGCAGGCGGGGGGCTCCCCGGTGGCGGCGGCGGCCCGGCTGCTGGACACCCACCTGCACATCGGCAGCGCCACAGCCCTGCCGCCCGCCGCCACGCTGCCCCCGAGCTTTGTGGCCGCGGGGCTGCCGCAGGCGGACTGTGAGATAGAGGACCTGACCTCGGGCCGGCTGGGCACCTTCGTGCTGGTGCAGTGAGGACCCCCCCCCCCCGCCTGCGGCTCGGGCCGGCCGGCCCTTCGAAGCAATAATTTCAGAGTATGTGAAGACGTTTCCGGACTCGAAGCCAATAAGTTTCTAGAAGCGAAACAAGCAATACGTTTGGTGTTTTGGCTTTTTACTTTCTTCTCGGTTTTACTTTTTCCCTTGCACTGAGCAAATGCAACTCTGAGCAGGGCCTGGAAACTTTCTGAAGAAAAATAATAATGGAGGGGCGTGCCGGGGTGGGCGGACGGGAAGGGGAAGGAGGGCGGCGGGGCGAGAGGCGACAGGGCTTGGCTGGACTGGCCAGCGCCACTGCGGTCGGGGCGGCGGGAGGGGGCCACGGGGGCCACGCGGGGCTTGCCTCGGGAGAGACCGTGGCGTGGGCCGCGTGTCCATCCGCGTGCGTGCGTGTGTGTTCGGTAGCCTTTTTTGTTTGCTTTGGTGAACGATTCTCCACTCCCCGAAACATTTACGCTTCAGAACGAGGACTGTGAACTTTCTACTTTATGTATCAGTTTTTTTTAAAAAGGCTCTGTTGGCCGGCCCAGGAGAAAATAATCTACAAATTCCTGGAATTCTCTACCCTGAAATCAGAACCCCAAGGACGGTGTTTTCTTATTTTAGATGAGAACTTTTATCTATCAACTGCTCGAGGTCGGTTTCCAGGATCCTTCAGAGGAGCCGTAGGAAGAGACTAGAAGCCGTGGGTGACTGAGGTTGGGGCTCCGGCCCGGATCACGTGGCTTCAGCCCCCCACGTGCCTCGGAGGGCCCCGGAGAGGTTTCTTCCACTGCCCATCTTATTTCCGCTGCTAATTTAAGTTTTTATGCATTTCATTATCAGGGTCCAAAATGAACAACTGACCAGGGCGGGGGGGGGGTGTGCAATACGGCCAGGTGTGGCCGTCGGGCAGGGGCAGGCGGAAAGCGGGGTCGCGGGTGCGCGGCCCCGCCCGCCTGTCGCCACCGGGCCGTGGCCCGTGGTAGCCCTGCCTCATCCGGGCCGCACACGTCAGGCTTTCGTTCGCGAATACCGCAGTGAGAGGTCAGATCAGTGTTGTTCAAGGTTTGTTCCTTTTTTAAAGCAGATACTGTCCATGTATATAAACACACAGATAGACACTACTTATTTTTTATATTTTTTACTACACTTCTGTGTTCCTGGTGTCACTTTTGCTCTCTGGTAACGTTAGCAAGCACCGGCACCAGGTCGGCGCGGAGGGGGGAGACGAGGCGCGTCCTCACCTGGCGGGTGAACTCGGGTCAGAAGCCACCCGACCCCCTCTGCACCAGTCAGTCCCCGTCCCTCGACCCGACCCAGGTGCCTTCAGCTCACTTTGGCTCTTACAACCTACAGTATTAACAGGGGAGAGGAGGGCGCTGGGAGAAGCCGAGGACACCCCCCCCCCCCGCCCCGGGCCCCTAGAGGGCGGGGGGCCGGCCGCGTGCGGGGGGGGGGGGGGGGGGCCGCGGCCCACGTGTCCGTGCCTGCCAGGCTTCCTGCTACCGGCCACCGGCCCTGCCACGGCCGCTGCTGCTACCTCCCCGTGGCTGTCGCCGGAGAGTCGGGGAAGGCACTGTCCTCGCGCCTGGCCACAGAGAAATCACCAAAGCCTCCTGCTGACTTGTGACAAGGGCCCCGGGGGCATCCGGCCTCTGGATCCACAGAGGCGGCGTGGCCGACTCCCCCCGAGACCGGGGTCCCCTCGTTAGACTCCTTGCTGTCGTGACGCCACAGATCAAAGGCCTCGGAGCCGTGACAAGCACTTTACTTTCACGGAGGTTTTCTTTCCGGCTGTGAGTCGTGTCTCTGCGTCTTGTGTTTAGGTGTGTGCGACGTGCGTCCTGTACTTTCTCCACAGCGCCGGTGCGCAGACTGGCGGCCGTAGCCTGTGCGAAGGCGCCACGGCGCCCGATTAAGGTGTACAAAGTTTGGTTTGTTTGGTTTTTTTTTTTTTTACCGCAACGGAATTAATTATTTTATTTCTTATGTTAACATGAGAAATGTATGCCAAATGATTAGCGGGTGTATGTTTTTTTAATTTAATATTTAAATAAAATATTTGGGGGAAGAACGTTGCCTTTTCCCCGTGCTCGTCTCTGTGGGAGTGCCGTCCTTCCCAGCCGCTTCCTCCCGCCGCCCTCCGGTTTCAGATCTCAGAGAGGGGGCGGTGGCACCAGCTCCCCCACCAGCCTGGCCACCAGGAGCTGCCCTCCCCCGGAAGTAGCGACCCACCGGGCGCTGGGCGCTCAGGGCAGGGCGTGGGAAGGGGCGGCCTGGGGCTGAGCGCGCCCCGGCCCTGCTGGTCCCCCTTCCCCGGGTGGCATCTCCAGCCCGGCCTGTTTCCAGTGGGTTCCTCCCCTCCCAGGGTGCCATGCGCTCCTTCCTCCTCCCTCCCTCCCCGGTAACGCTCCGCGAATCCACTTGCGAACCGAGCATTTGGAAGACCCTCACGGCCAGACTCTCCCAGTCTCTTCAAACCGGCTTTACGAACTTCTAGCAATAAGAGAGACGTGGCTGCTCACAGGGCACAGGGGTCCCTTCATTTTGATTCCCTGGCAAATACCTTTGGGTTAAAGAAAGTTTGTCAGTCTCTTTACACGCATTAGGATGGTCGTCACCAAAAACAAAAACATGTGAGGTTGCCATCAGCACCCGCGTGGGCTGCTCGAGGGAGAGGGTGGCACGGTCTGGCAGAGCCCCACCGAGTGAGAGCCACCGTGTCCTTCCGCTGGTGGGCGTGGGCCCCGACCCCTGGCAGAGACCCCACTGGCGCCTCTGTTCATTACGGCGACTCAGCGACCGAGGGACGGAAGCAGCCACACACCCGTTGACAAGGCGATGGACGTGACGTCCGGTGGCACGTGAAGAGTAGCCATAAAAAGGACAGGAACCGACGCCTGCTGTGACACGATGAGTCTGAGGACATTACACCAGGGACACTTACGTGGGGACCTCAAGCAGCAGAACCGTAGACACAGAAGGGGGATGGGTGGGAGCCAGGGGCTGGGGGAGGGGGAGGGAGAATCCGTGCTCTCTGGGGACAGACTTCAGTGTGGGGAAGATAGAACGTTCTGGAGATGGATGGAAGTGACGGTTGTATGGCAACGTGAATGGACCGAAGGCCACAGAACTGGGCACTTGAAAATGGTTAACGTGGTAACTTTGACGTTAACCGCGTTTCACCATAATGAGAAGAAAATAGATTCTCTTGGGGAGAGGCCCGACGTGGATAAGAAGCCTCCCCGTGGCGGAACAGCAGGACACGGGACAGAGGACAGCAGGCTGGGACCCGCAGGGGTCTCCGGAAGAGTCAGGGTCTGTCAGCCGGCGTGGGGATGACCCCTCGGCCCGGCCACTCAAGCCCGGGGTGGCACTCGCGCTGTGGGCAGGAGGCCGGGCTGGCAGCGGCAGTGGGGTGGTTATGCTGCTTGCGTGGGAAGGGCTACAACGCCCAGAACCGAGCCGCGGCTCTGGGTGTTGGGGGGCCCTGACGTGTGTGGGGGCTCGGCCTCGCTGTGTGCGCCCTGAGTGGGCCCTGCGACTCCCGGCAGTGGGGGTCCCCGAGGGGGACACCGGCTTCGGAAGAGACTAACGGGTGTTCAACCGACACGCGTGGCCCACGGCTCCCCGGCTGGGCTCCTTACGGGCCGGCCGCATCCCGTCCCACGCCTAGGACACCTCGAGCAGCCGGACCGCTGCCCGCTGAGATCCCAAGTTCCCACTGGGTTGTTTCTGTGGGGCACTCCCGTCGTCGTCGTCATTAAGTGGCACTTCTGGAACTCCCAGGTTGGAAGTCGGAGCCCCCCGCCTGGGGAGCCCCGCGGATGTCTCGTGGGGCTACCATCCGTCCGGGCCGGGTGATCCGCTCGGGAGTCATTCCGGCCCTCAGAGAGAGGGCCAGGGCGGCCATGGGCCTGGCCCAGGCCCGCCAGCCTGTTGGGGACCCTCGCCCGGCCCCACCGTCTGCATCTTGCTCTGGGCCACGAGGGCCTCGCCCACTCGGGCGCTGCTCGGTGTGGTGTGCGCGTGCCATTCCCTTGGGGTGTGGCCAGGCTCACCTGTGCTTTGGCACACCTGAGTGCCGGGCACGCCGGGGGTTCAGAGTTTCCGCCTCCTGGTCGCTTTGGCGGGCGTCCGGGTACTGCCCGGGGCCGTGACCGCGGCAGACCCAGGGGCGGCTGAGCCCAGCGCGCAGAGGAGCACGGGGGCCCCAGAAGGTGGCCTCTGCTGTCGGATGCGCCTGGATGTGATCCGCGCGGCAGTCTTCCAGGCCTGTGGCGGCGGACAGGGCCGAGCCATGCCTGGCTTTCTCCTGGTCAAGACGGCGTGCGTGACCACACGGTGTACTTCTCGGGGTTGAGCGAACACCGCCTACTGCGAGAACCGCTTCGCACAGCGCCCGGGACACGGCGGGCGCTCCGTGAGCACAGCGGCGCCTGCGACGTGGCCACAGCCAGGAGCGGCGGGGCGCCCGGGAGGGAGGAGGCGTCGGTGGACCCAGCTCGCTCGAGGCACTGCCGTTCCTCTCAAGGGTGTCGGAAACGTGGACCCGGGTGTCTTCCTGCCTTCACCAAGGGTGTCCATTTCCGGCCACGAGGGCTCAAGGAAAGCGGGGGGCTCGTAGGTCCCACTGGACCACGGATCGAAGACTGTGGGGAGCACGGGGTGGGAGCCTCCCACAGAACGGCGCGTCCCCAGAACAAGCCAGCTCTGCTGAGCTGCAGGGGACACACAGCGGGACTCACCCATCCGGACTGAGCATGTGGCTCGAGGAGCTCTGCCAGCCGCCGCCAAACCCAGCCCGCCCGTCACCGCGGCCTCCCAGAAAGCCCCCGGGTCCTTTGCAGGGGCCCTTCCCGTTCCCCGGGCCTCAGGCGGCCGTGGCCTGGTCTCCGTCACAGTGGACTAGTTCTGCACTTTCTAGAATTTCCTGCAGACAGTCCGTGCCGCGTGCGCCTCCGATCGTCGCGTGGCGGCTCGTGCAGGGGTCGCCCGCTGGGGCCTCAGCCTCTCTCGCTGCGGAGCCGCGCTCGCTGGGCCAGCGTCTGTGGTCCCTCTGCAGTCGGCGGACAGTCGGGCCTTTTCTGGTGCGAGCTGCCGCGGGTGCCACCGCTGGGAATCTTCGCGTCCGAG